CAGAGTAAGAATTAGTCAATGAGTTCCATGGTCTTTGGTATTTCCTGGAAATTGTGCTTCTAAATACTCGATTGTACGAAAATAAATGTTTATCGAATTATTTTACTGGCACGTAGACTATTAATTAAATTGGTTAGATTGACAGTATTAATAAAAATTGGTTTTTAGAAGTTTACAAGTAATGATGGCATTAAAAGAAAAAACAAAGCTAATAAAAAAACTATCAATATGTCTTCACCCATAGTACGGTTTGAAAATAACACAAAACAGATGTTGATTAATGTATTGTGATAAATAAAATAAATATTATTTTCCTTTTTGACTGTCAGTATTGTCACTATTTGCTTAGAAACACTAATGCCGCAGAAAACATTGTACTTGGCTCTTAAACTTATGTATCGTCTGTGCAGTGACCTTGAATAGAGGGAAAAACTACACCGAAAAAGAAATCACCGGATTTAATATTGGAGGTGGCGGAGAGATTCTAAAATAAATGTGAACTAATTGAGCGATGGCGATCATATCGAACTAAAGAAAGATATGTAGAAAAGATAAAAAAATTTTACATATACACCAAATGGAAAATCGAAAACCTCAAACACATTGTTTCGTGAGAGAGATTTGGGGATGATAGGTAACGAAATGGATGGACAGCTGAAGGAAATCTGAGAAGGAATTAAAGAAGGGTTGACAAAGTTGCAGAAAACCGGTAAAAAAAGTTACTAGTTTGTTGAAAGCCAAGGAGAGATAAGGTCAGGAGAAGTAAAGATATAATTGTCTGAAAAGTGGATAAAGTTTAAATTAAAAGGGATATTAAATTGAAATTCTGGAACGTGGCAGGATTAATAAATAAAGACAAGGGATTTAGTGAGGAGATAAATAAATGGAATGGTGTTGGATTAGTTGAATCTTGCTTTGAGGAAGAGGAGAGTGATAAATGTTTAGAATGGCTTCCTGAAAGTTTGAAATGGAAGACACAATTTTCCAATAGTGAATGTAAGAAAGGAATAACAAATGGGGTCACTTGAGTTATGGAAGATAATATAGAAAAAGAAGAATTTGAAATAGATAAGAGGTGAACGGTGATATGGACAGACGGATAAGACTAGATGGGGAATAATGGGTAATATGAGAAAGGAAATAAACGAGATTATGGAATGGAATAGAGGGAAAAAAACAAAAAAGATAACATTTGGAGGACATTTGAATACAAGCACAGGATGTAAAGGGAGTTGGGTACACGGTGCGGAAAAACATAAGGGCGATAGAAGATACAAATCAATTTTAATCAATGGATTGGGTAAACAATTGACATTTTACAAGACGAAACTTGGTATATAGCTAATAGAAATAGAAATATATAGCTCTTGTTACATACGGGGCTAATAAAAATATTGAAGAGGATTGGGAATAGTATAGTTGTATAGAAAGGAAGGATGGGGGTACTGTAATAGAATATGTGATTGTAGGAGAGAAAAGAAGATAAATTGTAAAATAAATGATTGTAAAAGAAAGATATTCACTATACTATCAACTCTCCTTTTAAACCTTAGTACGTAAACGACCACATCTTCATATATCCTAAATTTAATATACAAGAACGGATTTCTTTCACGCAGTACCTCATTTCTATTTTCTTAATAGGATTTATTAACATTTGCTGGTCTCGTTCGAGTTGATTTATCTTATTAATATTTAATTCACTGTCTTATTACTTCGACACTGGAGTGATAATCGCTTAAGGTCAAATTATATTTGTATATCGTGGTTCGACTAGTGCACATACTGGCTGTCAGGTTGTGAACGTCTCATGCAGAATATTTAATTAATCATCTCCTTTGAAATAAAACATTGAATTTTTAGACGCTTCATGGTTTGTAGGCCGTGGTCCAACGGATACCAATCCACACGTTTCGCCTGCAACTGTGGCAGGCATCATCAGTGGCGTTGCTGGCAGGGCTGAAGTGTTCTTCTTGGCAGCACCGAGTTGACTGACGCTCCGGAAGCTCTGGGACTCATATTTATGGTTGGACAACAGCCTGCAAACCCGGAAACATCTATTATGTAGAAACCGGCAGTGAAAGCCTACGTTGTATGTTAAAACATTCCATTGTTCAGAATTATTTTGTAATTGTACAGTCGCTACTACAAAGTCGTACACGATCCAAATGTATCTGCTGTTCCAGTTGCCCTACTTCGGCGCTACTAGTACACTGCACAAACAAATAACATATTGTGCGCAAAGTTAACAATCTTCATTTCAAACAACGACAAATTTATTCGCACACTTACACCAGATCTAAACATTCTCTGATATAACATGCTTGGCTACTGTTACCTTCCTCATACTATCTTTCTAATTTTAATTCTTACATAACATTTAAATGACACATGACTTCGTCTTCATACTGTGATAATGCAAATAATGCCTATTCACTTCTCCTTTTATAATAACAGCAAGCTTTGCAATCGAAAGTGCTTATATAATTCCATTTCCATATTAACTTCTTATGGTAGGTTGAATTTTGCTCTTCAAACGTCTGAAGGTGAAGTCTAAATTCTGGAAAATTCTTTCAACACTTTGCTAACTAATTTCCTCTCTTTTTACACTATTTACATGTTAGTTTCTGCTTAATAACTCACTGAAACTTAAAAATTAATTTCGTGAAAACACGCACTGATTTTCGTGGTCCCTGTCAAATGGCTGTCTTCGTTTTCTCACCAGAACCAAAAATTCGAGATAAAAATAACACCATGAAATTTAGATATCTCCTAAAAATTAATACAAGATGTAAATTCAAAATGTTTCGTAGACCAGGTTGTAATACATATTCATATTTTCGAAACGTCGTTAGTTATCCAAAATTGCAAGCACTAGGACTGCAACAAACAAACGACGACGCACAAAAAACTTGGTACGCACTATTCGCGCCTCGTAATTATAAAACAAATAATTAACAAGTGGAAATAGGCCTACCGGGGAATTCGCCACTATAAATAAAGGAATATCGCGCCAATGGGACTACAGCATACAAGTCTAAACTTGTTACGCATACAAGTCTTAAACTTGTTACTGTAGTGAGGAAACGTCCCAAAACATCACTATACAACTTCATCGCAACAAAATCCTTCCATCACGTCACTAGCCACACTTCGTCGTGGTTTTGCATGAAAACCCACGACCACGGGATCCCAAGGTCCAACACGTTATCAACCATTCTGAACAATTTCACAACAATCCGGAAACAGGTAAATGTGACAAGCTGAAAAATGACTGAAGAAATAAAGAAAACCGGTCTCGACCGGTAACCGATTCATATTCGCTTCGCCGATCATTGATCGTCACCAGTGGTGAGCGATCTGCCTTTCAACTGTCTTCTTGGTCGTAAAAAGTCCTTAAAATTGTGCCTTCATGATTCCTCCTGCGAACTCCGGTCATTGTTTTACTCTACGTCGCTTTCGATTGACCATCTTATCGATACGCTGCGTGTTTCTTGACAATCCCGTTTGTTAAATTCGTATTATTTAGATTTAGATTTATTCAGTCAAAAAACAGTAAAAACTGTATGTCACATGCGAAGGAAAATATTATCTTCTCACGTTTTTTTGAGTTCCAGAATCCCTTCTTGTCATTTTAACTATAAATAGTTAAAAGGTGAGTAAAAGTTTAACATAAATAATTTTTTAAAATAAATTTAAAAAAATGCAAGATTAGCAGTATTTGAAAAATGGCCATTTTCGTTTCTGAGTAATAGAAAACTCATTTGCATCGGTACACGAATTGCAAGTATGATTTTTCTGCATTTCTAACAAAATAGCAACTCGCCCTTACCTCTACTCTTACCATTACAAGCAAAAGAAGAGTTCAACAAAAAGTGCCCATAGTGAAGCTACATTTACGTCCAGAAGCAAAACAAAGGGTCCATCTCAGCATTTGCTCAATGGATTAGGGAAACTGGAAAAAACATGCTCGAGATGGGGGTTATTGACCCGGATGCTGAAGTACATTATTTGTTACAAATATATCAAGTCTTTAAAAAAAACAATACAAATGTAAATCAATTCATTATATATCAGTGTTTTATTAAAATAAATATTATTTTTCTTTTTGATAATCGGTATAGCCTCTAATTGTATAGAAACAGTTATGCAACAGACAAGATTTTACCTTTAACTTAAATTTGTGAACCGACTTCATCTGTTTAAGGTCATCTGACAGTGCGTTGTAAAGTAACGTTCATGTAATATAAGTGGATTTCTGTAAGAGCGATGTTGATACTGACACTTGATGAACGTGATTTTTACGCCGAGTGTTGTAATTGTAAATATCACTTTAGCATGAAAATATGTTCCCACCGTTAAGTAAGTCACTTAATAATTATATAATTATAATTTAATATGCACTAAATCTCGCAAAGTGTCCTGCGAATTTCAATACTCTTTATTTTTAAATTTCTCTCACTCGTTACTTCCTATTTCTTTTACTCATTATTCTTGATAATAACTGATATTTCGTTCCTGTTGAAATTCGATTGTATTCCTTTAAATAGTTTACCTTCTAAACTTTACTATTTAATGTCATCACTTCTGCTATTTGTGATGGCTCCCAAAATGTATTCAAAAATACTCCTCACAATATACTAATAAAATGACAGCGTCCAGAACTCTGCTCACTATACCACCTCCGTGGCATAAAATAAGTTTAATTAAACTAAATATCGAAAAAAATACGTGGAATGATTACAGGACAACACCCACTAACAAACTTGAGCGTGATTCCCGTAGAATACTTGTTAAAATGTGAAGGTACCTTTTGAGGACAATGTAAACATTCTCGCAAATAAATAATATCGTAAAATTTATTTGTATATAATTGATTTTTACGTTTTATAAGGAGATAAAGAGATTTTGTAAAGAATCTCAGTATAATTCACAGGCCAATAACTTGAGTGAAATCTGATTTTCCAAATATAGAACTATTTCTCATACTTAAATTACTTCTAAAGCAACAATCTGTTGACGTAGCCTACAAATACACACATGATATCATATTCCGAAAGCGTCTTATTTCATTTGCTATGATTTCGGAAAGAGTGAAACGAAACCCAAAATTTACTCGTCTCAGATTATGTCAATTGAAATCAATTAGATTTACGATTATTTTTTATTTATTTTTGTTATAAAAATGAAATTACTGTACTGTAGTATTTTAAACCTTGATACCCCATCCAGAGTTCTTGATCTGACAGCAAACTAATCTATTTACATCCGCGTACATAAAAGAATAATAACCATGCAGAGACGAAATGACATTTTATACTGAACAATGCCGTTTTTCGAAACAGTATAAATTTATTTCTCTATACTACGTAAGAAAACGAGAAAGTATAAACAGACTAGGGTTAATATTTTCGTCGCAAACCCAGAGGTCAAATGTAACTCGTAGTTTGAAATTAAATTTCAATGTTGCTTAACATCCTACAATACGTCTCAAATAGAGGCAGACATGATTAAGTTCCGGTATATTTTCTTTTGCAAAAAATTGTTCACCTCAGACTTATTTTTTGGAACGATCGGGTTATTTCGGTATCTGAATTTAAATGGACCACCCCGAAGATGTGATATGTGATACTGATGGGTGTGATATTGAAATAAGTGGGACGTACTGTCGAGAATAAATCTTATCATTACCTACCTAAGTGATATCATGAGAGGTCCACGTGTTTGTGATGGCAAAGTGCAAGGCGTAATTGCAATCACGGTCTGTACATCAGTAACTGAATCTAGTACACTGGGAATTTAATTGAACAACGAGTGCCTTCACCCCTGCCTGTAGAGAGCCCGGGTCATTATAGAGTCCACGAGAGCCTCACGAATCGTTGGACTTATGGAGCAAACGTGCGCTGTTAGCAGTTTTAGGCTGTTTGGGTATGTGGGATTGGGAAGTTGCTACCGTCCTCAAGCTTCTCGGCTGTTGGTTGAAGGTGCTAAGCGAAAGTTCCTACGGCGCGCTCACGGACGTAATTGACCGATGGATTGGCAAAGGGCATAGGTGATTCGGCGACGTCTTAATATCGGGACGCGCGGTGGTGGTGGTACTGATTGGCTGTGGCCGGATGCGTCGGA